AATTTAGAGTAGGAAGAAGCCATTGCAACGTAGCATTCCTTTTGTGGTCGACCCGAGGGTGAAATTTAGAGTAGGAAGAAGCCATTGCAACGCAGCGCGTGTGTTTCCCAGGGAGCTTGAAAGGGCCACCAAAAAGCCTGTGTGCGTAGATGAGTCCAGCGAAAGGCTTGTGTGCACAGATGAGACAAATCTTTGTGCGCAGATGAGCGAAACTGAGTGCGCGGATGGGTCCCTCCCCCTGCCGCTACTGCAAATACGCCCTAGCAGTTCCTCTCTTTGTTTTTCCTCGCTGCTTCTCTCCTTTGTTTTTTTCTGTCCCTCTCTCCCTCTGTCTCGCTCTCCTGCTACATCGCTTTATCCTTCTGCTGCCGCTGCTGCTTTGAAACATGCTGCCTATACTTTGTTTGCATTGCGGGGGAGGCGCTGTGCCCTCCCCCGAACCCCATCCCGCTGCTTCTAGTCCCCCAAGAAAGCTCCAAGCCAAGCCCAAACAAACTCTAAAGAAGCGAAGCCCCAAGCGAAGCCCACGAAATCTACATGTCGTCATTCCCAAAATGCTGTCTCTGCCATGAAATCTGCACTTCAAGGTTCACAAAGTGCTGCGCCTGCCACGAAATCTGCACTTAGACGTGCGCAAAGCATTGCGTTTACCAACAACTTCTGCACTTCGAGCTTCGCAACTGGCTACACCCACGAAACCTGCTTTGCCAGGTCCACAAAGCATTGCACCTGACACCGCAAGTGATAATACTTTTTGATCGCAGTTAATTACTTTTATAATATCCTAAAACCACTTATGAACTGATGGTAGGACAGTTCGAACATTACTGAATGTCTGCATGTCATAGTAGTCTTCTTCGGGCTACTAATATCGTCTAATATCCCCGTTATCACTTCAATCCTTCTTGTTGTCCGCCTGAGGCAAGGACAATGACAGCATGTTCCGCAAGGAGGCTGCCACTATGTCCGTCTTGGACCACCCCCACCTGTGCATCTAAGACCGCAAACACGACTTAATAGCGATGGCCTCCACCCTAATAGCATCCTTACTCCTAGTAGCGATGCCCTTTGTTCCTAGTAGCTTCTTGCTCCTAGTATATAACTTAGTAAGACCAGGAGCCCCTAGTAGCGTCCTTGCTCCTAATGTCAAAGACCTGAGGCCCCAAACGTTGGAAATCAGAAAATGCAGTATCGCAAGCTGAGGCCGCCTCTTCGATGTGATCGAAGACCAAATCTGCTTCTACTTTGTCATGGAACTTTGTGAAGGCGGTGACTTGCAGCACTACCTGGAGGCTTCAAGTAAGAACCAGCTTCCAGAGCCTTCAGTAGCAGTCCTTATGCGGCAGCTTTTCGGAGCCATTCACTACTTGCATGAGCGATCCATGGCGCACTCGGACTTTGCGGCTCGAAACATCCTTTTGCTGAAGAGAACTGCAGATGCTCCTTTGGAACAATGCTCGGCGAAGCTGGCTGAATCTCAACTTCCAAAGGATGGGCCACGGGACCACCCCAAAGTGTGCATCGCAAGCGTTCGCAGATGAATGAGTCGTACAGTAGATCATATGTGACAGATGTGATGGACACGTAGACAAGTTGACAAGATCGTTTAACAGCATGTATCATGTAACAACGTAGAGCAATTATATGGCAGGATTTCGTGATTGAAGTCAACATCTTTGCCAAGGACTTTGGAAGCGTCCGCTCCTTTACCGCTGGAGCTGCAGTGGGCCCTCACAAGGGTGACATATGGGGCTTGGGACTTCTCATGAGGGGGTTGATCTGAGTCTTGGAATTGATGGCAAGTTGTGTCACAGTTCGCTTGCATGTTTGTTCGACATGTCCTTCAAGTCTTGATTCCCAGCTTGAATTTTGCCCTTGTATCGAGCGAGTTCAAGCGTGGCGAGCACCGTACGTTTCCGTAGGTGAAGGGTAAGGACTAAGCTGGCTTTTCACTGACCGCCTTTTTAACGCAATTTAAGGTGACATCAGCCGAGTGCTAGGCACTAAGTCTCCAAACAGACGGCCTCTTGATGCCCAGATTTGGGCGGGGCACTCTGATGAGGCACGATGCCACTTGGACATACGTGGGCTGATTTCGAGAGATGTGAAACATGTGACACAGAATTCAAAAGCACGGAGGCCCCACATTGTTCAGTTCATTGTTTCCCATGTGTTCCTATAGCATCCGGATTGGCTGTGTCAGTGCTTCTAAAGTGACCAGTGGCATTCAATGGCCCAGGTTTGTGCGGCCGCCTTCTGCGCAGAGATCCTGAATCTCGATGGACCGCCGAAGAAGCATTGCACCATGACTGGTTCTATGTCGTGGAACTGCCACGGGCTGAAATACCTGGGGGCATTTTGCAGCGCCTCCGGCCGCTCAGCATGAAAACGAGGTGACACCCAGTGATACCCGAAACCAGATCGACCATCAACACCTGTGCCAATACAATACACATTCCAAACGCCATGCATAACTTGTGTTTTTGGGAAACGTGACATGCGGGCAACTCATGGCAACTCCTTCAGGCGCTTCGTCTCCGCTAATGTACTGGTGAGAAGCAGCCTACAAGCCCTAGCGGAGCAGCGTGAAGGGCATGAGCAGCTGTTTGCAGACATGGATCAGATTCTTGGCACCAAAGACCCTGCCAGGGGATTGACTCAATAAGACAGATCATCAAAACAAGGGCCTTGCTGCTACTCTTGACATGTAAGATTAGCTGCAGCATTTTCCTGTTATGTGTTTGGTTTTGACCATGTGGGCCGGCATCACGTTTGGGAACCACAACACCCGCTCCATGTGAAGGCCAAGGCCTAAGCGTTCTTTGTGGGTAATCAGTCTAGGGTACCAGTATCGAAAAAAAAATATATATATTATACACACGTACAATGCGCTGTGTATATAATATTATAATGTCATTGCAAAGAGGAGGATGTATTCTGTGGCCTTTGAAAAATACTCACCGTATCTCACTGTTAGCCCAAGTGCTCGGATTCTGGCATTTGTTTGATTTGGTGCTGATGAGTCTGCCCTCTTTCTGGGATGCTGTCCCTGTGTGCCAAGCGAAAGCAGAAGGCAGCACGGGTCACGTCCAGCTGCTCAGCTCTGGTTTCTATTTGGCTCATCGCCCATGTTTGCTTCAGTTGATTTGAGTACAGTCCTAATTGGTTTACTTTGGAAACTCAAGATGTGCATGGTTGAAAGGGCAGGGTTACAACCTTCTGCCGACAGAATGCATGCCACCCAGAAACTTGCATGCTTTTGAGACATGATATCGTTATCATCGTCGCCTTCACATTGTCATCCACTTTTGCACCAAAATCTTGTACGTAAGAGAGAGAAAACGCAGAAGGTCATTGAACAAAACGACTGAACTGTGAATGGTGAGACTTTTTGAAGGCGCTTCGACTTCTAGACAGTTTTTATTAAGATTCCCAACCCTTGTAGTGATGAGAATGGCTATTGTGAGTGTCAATGGTCAGATACCTGGGCACACCTGGGCGCACGTGACCGAAACCCCCAGGAATTGCGATGGGCTTCTATGCCACAATGACCTTTTCATTTGCCTTACCGAAGTCGGAGAAGACGTTTCTAAAGAAGATCTGCAGCAGTTGCTGCAAGAGGCATGGCGGGCATGGCGGACCGCGGACAACAGA